ACAATATGGATATTGCTGAGACAAGGGGCTGTACGAAGCCTCAAAATGAGCCAGAATAAAGGTCATGTGTGTTCTGCTGTTAATCCCATGGTTTTGAACGCGACGACCGTATTAACCATGGAGTTGACACCTTGTGGGGAAAAGTTCAACCACAAAGATGCATTATGCCTTGACTGGCCAGCATTTGATTGTACATGTAATGTAGTGTAATGTACAATCTGCTATTAAAGTGTGACGTGGGTGGACTGTCGCACTATCATCGTATCGAGGGACTCTGACATCGATCAGATGCAGGTTGCACTTGATAATTATCAAACGCTCTCTTGAAAAAACAAACACTTTCCATCCCTAATTCTTCAAAGGCCACTGAATCTACGTCTGCAGCTTATGGATACCAACGTACATGTGTTTAGATAAAATTGAACTCAGCTCAGCAAAGTGGAGCGTGTGGAGAATATGCAGTTTAAGAGTTCTAGGGCCTATCTATAGGCAACAGTAGTATTAACTATGAACAGGGTCATACAATGGTATGTGTCGGATATGCGTGAAATCCACCAGTGGTGACTTTCATAAGCTGGGGTAGGGCCTATGGGCATAATGGGAGGCGCTTTCCCCTCCCATGTGATTACCCTTCCAACCAAAGAAACTTGAAATTGTATTCGCCCAAAAAGACTGCCACGGGAATTCTGAGGAATCTTTGTTGTAGTCCTGTACACATAATTAACTCTTTTGACCAATTAAAGTCTGCCCAATCGCAAGCAGGTTTTATTGTAATGGGAGACTTCAATAGGCTTGACATTAATCCAATATGTGGTAGCTGTGATCTAAAACAAATTTTTGATAAGTTTACTCAGGAAAATGCTATATTGGATAAAATTTTAACCAATGTTCACGGTTATTATACGGGCGTTCACATCATGCCCCCTCTTGGCAGAAGCGATCACAATTTAAATTTGTGGTCTCCTATCCAAGACTTGGCTACTACCAAAAATTCTACACTAAAACGTGTAGTTAAGCCAATGCGTGACTCCGATATTCGACGCTTTGGCAGGTGGATTTCGACTTACGATTGACAGGAGATACTTAATGCTAAGACAGCGGCTAAATGTGACAAGTTCTAGTCTATTTTGAATAGTGCACTTGATGTATATTTCCCCGTTAGACGTGTTTGTACTCATGTGAGAGATAAGCCATGGATTACCACTGAAATTAAAGCACTCATAAAACAACGACAACTTCTTTTAAATCAAGGGTACGTTAGTGCTTGGAGGAAATGTAGGAACAAAATTATTCGTTGTATCAAAAATGCTAAAAACTATTTTTATCATAGCCGTGTCCTCCACCTGAAACATGATAATCCATCATCGTGGTACAAAAATATTAACGTAATATGACATCTTTTACAATCCAGTCTGATGATGTTATCAACTTCCCCCGGGATAGACCATACTGATCTGTTGAAAATTGCTTATGTCATTAATGATAATTTTATTCAGGTTGGCTGCAATGAAGATTGAATAAAACACCATAATAATAATAATAATTACACTGGCATACTGGTGCGTGCCAAGGATTGAGGTGCATGTAAGGCATTGTATATGATTTACACGTGTAGTAATTTGTCACAATTTGCCAGTTTTGTGGTTTAGTTTGTGTATCATTTCAAGGACCCGTTTTATTTTCTAAGGAACATTAAGAAAAACGGAGTTAATTTTTAACAGTCCGAAGCCCAGCTCGTGTATTTGTCTCGCCAAACTCCATCTACCACAGGACGTTCCCGAGTACCACGATAGTGCACAGACGAAGTCGACCTGGAGACCAACTGTAGCCCTCAACAATGCATTTTTCCCATGGCATTGAGCAGTGGTAGTGGTTTGCAATTTACCTTCAAGTTTGTGTTTCCTCTCAAAGAATGCAACGCTGAAAATTCTGTCGAATAAACACCAAGCCATCGTGCAGTAAGTTGACTGCAGTCACTACAGTCACTACTGAAACAGTCACTGCGCGACCAAAACGTACAATTTACACTACATGTACCGGTACATGTGCACGCACTCGATCGACCGGTTTCTTCGCTCTTCATACGCAGCCTTCCATGTCAGGCAAAACCCTCCACACACCGTATGTCAGTGCCAATCGTAAACACTTTATAAATCAATAAATGTGGCAATTATCATTTTATTTCGGGCATAAGAGTTACTGTGATTGGAAAAACAGAAAGCTGAATGTCTCGAAATTGGAATTTTGTTCGAGAAAACCGGCAAGCTCCGGCCGACGGAGCGGCCATCATCTATTTCATGTGAGGTAAACTTCCACTGTTTCATAAAGAAACTCAAATTTCCAATCAGTCCAAATGGTTATAAATTTATTTTATCAGTTAATAATGCAGTTTAGGCGTACCGAAGGTGCGTTGGCAGTTTGTTCTTTACCCGGACGGACGATCTTTGGAAAAAATAGGAAATTTCTCTTTTCTCAAAAACGATAGCACTCCTGGCGGTAAGATCTCACAGATTGTCTGACACTATTATGTACTTACTTTACACTAAAATTTCAAGGTAATTCAACAGTCCCGTTTTTGAGACCTTGCAAATCCTATATACACAGTCTTTAAGGCGCATTCATGCGTAGCCACCAGAGCGCAGCCTCCAGCTGCGCCTCGACGGCCAATGTGGGAAGTCGGGTGTCTTATGTTACAACGCCGTTGTAACC